AGACCGTGACTGTTTTTGACCACAACCCCATCCCTCCTGTTTTGCAACCATCCCCCCACAAGAAGCAGAGTGTGAGTGTTTTCCACCAGAACCCCATCCCTCCCGTTTTGCAACCATCCCCCAGAGGAAGCAGACCGGGAGTGTTTTCCACCACAACCCTGCGGTGGGGATCGGGGTCGTTGTGTTCACGTGTGTAGGCCACGCGCACACCGTGTGTACCCGGCAGATGCACAGAAACAATTTATAAACGCGCCTTAGTCTAGTTCCATTTCAAAGGGGACAAGAGCCACATGCTTTAAGGACCAGTGAATGTGCATCAGGTTGGGGCGGCGCCCAGCAAGCTAGCTGAGGGGGGATCACATCGCAGTGCCGCGAATCTACTGCCCTAGGCAGCTGCTTAACTTGCCCGGGCTTGGAGCAGCTGGTGGGTATTGCGCAAGAATAAAGCTGGGGCAAGAAGTGGCATGGGCAGCTGCTTGAGAACAGGCAAACAGCCCAGGGACGTGGTGACCCAAGACATACTTGGTCAGTCACAGACAGCCCATGTCCTCACTCCAGAGCCACTTGTAAAGTGGGAGGGGTGGTGGTGGCATGACTTGGGATATTTGGGTGATATTCCTGAAATCCCCAGTTCCTGGAATTGTTTATGCCAAAACCTTCACTGTCTTTTCAAAAAAGGATAAGCCCCGAGGCTTGAGAGAAAACCTTAGAAATGCAGCCCCTAATGGCTATGAAACAACAAAGCAAATAAACAAAACCTATTTTGTAGGGGCTCATGGTTTTTAAACTGACTTGATTTTTTGAGGCTTGGTTCACTGTTTTTGGACATGTGCAGTGGGCAATGCTGTGCTAGTTACTGTTTAGGGAAGGATTCATTTACTTTGCTTTTGTTTTAGTTTACAGGTTGATTTTTAAAGGCCAATACAATATTTTCAAGGATTTTGAGGCTAGAAGGGGCCATTTTGCCCATCCCCTCTGGCCTCCTTTGTAACCCAGGACAGGTAATGCCCCCAGCAATTCCTGCCTATGGCTCAGTATCTTATGGTTGTTCTACAGCTGAGCTCATTGTCAGATAACAGAAACTGCCAGAGCAGGGGTGAAATTTTCAAGAATTACATAGGGTCCTAAATCCCCTTGGCTTTCAAGGAGACTTAGGCTTCTCAGGAGTTTGTCACTTTTGAAAATGGGAATTAGGTGTTAAGGGCTTTCCCTTCACCTGGTTCTTGACACCCAGACAGAAAGCAGAAGACCAAAGTGCAGACAATGCAATGTTTATTGGGGTTAATTAGGCAAGTACTGTAGTGCAATCTTTATTGTGAAAGTGCAACTTATAAATGTAGATTTTTTTTTACATAACTGCACTCAAAACCAAAATAGTGTTAGAGCATAAAAGTCCAATCAGTCCTACTTCTTGTTCCGCCAACCGCTAAGACAAGTAAGTTTGTTTACATTTACGGGAGATAATGCTGCCCGCTTCTTATTTACAATGTTACCTGAAAGTGAGAACAGACATTCACATGGCACTTTTGTAGCCAGCATTGCAAAGTATTTACGTGCCAGATAGGCTAAACATTCGTATGCCCTTCATGCTTCGGCCACCATTCCAGAGGACTTGCTTCCATGCTGATGATGCTCATTTAAAAAAAATAATGCATTAATTTAATGTATGACTGAACTCCTTGGGGGGAGAACTGTATGCTTCCTGCTCTGTTTTACCCACATTCTGCCACATATTTCATGTTATAGCAGTCTCAGATGACCTAGGATGTTGTTCGTTTTACGAACACTTTCACTGCAGATTTGTTAAAACATAAAAAAAGTACCAATGTGAGATTTCTAAAGATAGCTACAGCACTCGACCCAAGATTTAAGAATCTGAAGTGCCTTCCAAAATCTCAGAGGGACAGGGTGTGGAGCATGCTTTCAGAAATCTTACAAGAGCAACACTCCAATGCGGAAACTACAGAACCCGAACCACCAAAAAAGAAAATCAACCTTCTGCTGGGGCATCTGACTCAGATGATGAAAATGTGTCGGTCTGCACTCCTTTGGATCGTTATTGAGCACAACCCATGATCAGCATAGATGCATGTCCTCTGGAATGGTGGTTGAAGCATAAAGGGACATGAATTTTTAGCGCATCTGGCATGTAAATATCTTGTGACACTGGCTACAACAGTGCCATGCGAACGCCAGTTCTCACTTTCAGGTGCCATTGTAAAGAAGAAGCGGGAAGCATTATCTCCTGCAAATGTAAACAAACTTGTTTCTTTGAGCAACTGGCTGAACAAGAAGTAGGACTGAGTGGACTTGCAGGATCTACAATTTTACATCCTTTTATTTTTGAATGCAGGTTTTTTTGTACATAATTCTACATTTCTAAGTTCAACTTTCATGATAAAGAGATTGCACTACAGTACTTGTAATGGGGGAACTGAAAAATACTATTTCTTTTGTTGTTTTTTTACATGCAAATATTTGTAATCAAAAATAAATCTGAAGTACATTTTGTATTCTGGGTTGTAACAGAAATCAGTATATTTGAAAATGTAGAAAACATCCAAAAATATTTAAAGAAATGGTGTTATTATTGTTAAACACGATTAACCGCATGATTAATCGCAATTTTAATTGCTTAACAGCGCTATTAGAGATCAAATCGATCAAATAAGCCCTTTCGTCTATTTAGCAACAATCTACACTACGGTGCTATGACTGCACAGCCATAGATGTGCTGCTGTAGCCTGCATATGCTCAAAATTCGGGAAGTTAGTGTTCCTACCCCAGCAGAAAAACATCTTCTGTCAGCATACACTCCATCTATACTAGGTAACTATGCTGGTATAGCCCCATCAACATAGGCTCTATAGTGTAAACCTAGCCTGTTAGTGATTCAGTGTAACTTCTAGACAACTCATGACTAGTGAAATAAATACAAAGACACATCACAGATTTTAGTCGTCCAGAGGGTTTTAACCCTGATATGAAGCATTTAGTTTAAACACAACCACGACATCAATTGGGTAAACAATACATGGAGATTTCACTAGGAGGGTGGTGAAGCACTGGAATGGGTTACCTAGGGAGGTGGTGAAATCTCCATCCTTAGAGGTTTTTAAGGCCCGGCTTGATAAAGCCCTGGCTGAGATGGTTTAGTTGGTGTTGGTCCTGCTTTGAGCAGGGGGTGGGACTAGATGACCTCCTGAGGTCCCTTCCAACCCTGATAGTCTATGATAAATGTCATTTTGCTATATGTATCAGTTGGAGTTGGCACGGAGGTGACTTCTCCAGCTCAACTTCACCACTGCGATGGCTGGCTCTAGAGACAGAGAGGGAGTTCATTCAGGTGATTCACTCAAGGTGCTGTGACAGCCATACGCCGGTTCTCTGTGAGAATTTCTCAGTGGTGCTTGTCAGCGACCAGATTTTAGTTGTTACCCAGTACGAGGCGCTCAACCTGGCCAGGCAAGTATGCTCCCACTCACCAGCACTGTCGTGCAGATGTTTCTGTTTCAGGGAGCGGGACATTTTATACCTTTTCTGATGGGCAAAGCTAATGTGGCCCAATCAGGAAGTGATCTGGACTCGTGGCAAAAAAAAGGTCTAGCCAGGATATGAGTTATGTCCCTTCTCATCGTCCAATGAGAAAACGAGACCTCTTGCAACTCCTGGAGAAAACTCCAGTGTCTTTGTGTAAAACACTTTGTGCCATCTCCACTTAGGTCAGACACGCTGGGTCATGTACTGCTGGCTCAGCTCCAGTCAGTAACCTCTTTCTGCAAGTTCCTTTCCATGGGCTCCGTGCTCCTTTGGCCCACTGTGTCTGACTCCATGCGCTTTCCATCTTAGCTGGCTGCAGCAATGTTCTGGAAGTTAGAATGAAGTCTCTTCCCCCTCCTGGATGGCTTTGTCCTTGGGTAGTAGTTCATAACGCAGCCATATACAGTCATTTGATTCACGTGCTTGGTCCACCAGCAACAGGAGAGAATAGTTAGTGAAATAACACAAGACCGCTCTAGGCACCTCCATACCAGGACTTGTTTCCTACGCCTCAGTGACCAGGTCAGTAGGATCACTTCATATGTGACCCTCTCTCTGGGCACCTGCCAGTCACAAAGTTCATCAGGCCTCATAATCAATTAGGCCTTAGAGAACATTTTGGTTGGTTCACTTTAAATATTTACTTTTCACGCTGGCTTCTCCCCATGCCAACAGAATGGATCAGCTTCTTTTATATGAAATATAGTTAGACCTCTGTTAAAGATTCGTTATATATTTCTGATTGATCACATTTCTATTTAAAATAGACAGCACGAGCAGTTCCTGAGTCTTCTTTCAATCACACGGACAGGCTGTCCCGCCCCGTCCCTCAGACCAATCAACGCGGAGATGGGACGGCAAATCCCACCTCTGGAGTGTCCTGGCTGGAACTGATGGTTGTGGGGGGAAGTTCCTGGCTGGGTCCCAGTTAGAGGGGTGTGTGGTGTGTGTGTGTGTGTGTGTGTAGTGTGGTGTGTGTGTGTAGTAAGTAAGAGTACGAGAGAAGAGA